GTGAAATTCTAGGCTCAAGGCAGTACTTATAGTGTGTTTGGACATGACAACTATGACAAGTCTAGTCTGTGCTTTGGAATAATAATTCTAAACAATTTACACTAAGTTTATAATAGATTGTAAACATAGTAATAGTACCTTTAGACTATTAGTTATACGATTTAAAATTAAATTTTAAACTAAGATTTTACCGAACGTCTACATCTTCCATAATTAAATATGATTAACATTGATTTATAAATTGTATTCAATATGCTGCGAATGGTAAAAAGTGTATTGCACAACACCGATTTTGTCAAAAGCTGTGAAGAATTTTGATAGTAAATTAAATTTCTTATTGCATAAACGTGTAGACAACAAAAACAATGTAGTGTAGAAAGTACCAAATATTACTGTCGTAAGATCGTACGTGCTCGTCGGATTTGAATAAAGATGGTGGCCATTGGCTTGCTGTAATGGCACGTTCTGTTTGGTCCATTTAACATGAAAATAAATGTGGCTGGTATTATAACTGAACTAAGTTTTTTGACTTAATTTACCCATCGTTGATGGTCTCTGGTCTGTGTTTCGCAAAACACAGACCAGACTCTTTGATCAACCCGAGCGTAAGGACTCAAAGAGACATCAGACCACTACAGATGGGGCCCAACAGAGCCGATGCCGATTCGGAGTCGCGGAGACCCTGACGGGTTACCGGGGCTCCGGCTCGACGTGCAAGAGAAGAACGGGGTGGTTTTTAGTCAGTAAGAGTCTGACACTCCCTCCCGCCTCACCCAGGCGGGAGCAGTCATTTGATGATTTTCCCCCCTTAAAAAAAAGACTGATCAGTGGCTGTTTTAGCGATGGGATACACATATGTTTTATTGGTTTCGACCTTTCGCCTTTAAACCTATTTATTAATTTGATAACCTATGGCTAAATAACATTACTAAACTTATGAGCAAGTATATGAAACTGATCATATTTGTGTTTATGACTGCAGGCAGTAGTGGTGAAATGTCTATTTCAAAATTTATGTAGTGTAATTCAAATCGTAAGTGCGTGCAAACCTTAACCTAATTGAGTGATGAAATGCCTTGGAAAACGGAAAAAAGACGAGATATTCACGAGGTGTGAGCAACTATGGTTTTACGATCGAAGGCACAGTGTTCTAAACCATAGTTTGTTCGTTTAATGGCTGTACAGAATATTGTATTGTGCAAGTTAATTTATATTTTGTTTGTGAAGATGAAAGTGAAATTGTTACGTTGCGTTCAAGTATTTTTGGGACGTGGCTTGCATTCGTGTAGGTACGTACCTTCATAAAAGAAAGCTCAGCATGTTTAATGCATAACCAGCAAATACCATAGCAAATAATATTTTTAATAATATTATGATTCATAACCTAATGATTCAGTCTGATTGCGTTATATCTGTCTCATTACAAGTGCATTATTAAAACATTTCCTGTTTCATATTTTTATGTTTATCACAAAGTAAATAAAAATAGAGCGAAGATCTTTCGTAACCTATATTGATAATTCCGGAAATCGGTCGACTCAGTAAATAACGAAGACGTAAAGTTCTTTGATAAAGACAGTATTTTTTAGAGAATATTATTAATATTAAGTACTTTGTACTTGAGATAAAGGAACGCGTTGCGCGCACTATTTTGGTATCAATTTTATATTTATTTGTGTCTGAGTGCTTGTCTGGCCCAAGGCGACCGGTCGGGGGCGACATTGAGTCACGCAGGGTGACGCAGGCGGGGTGCGCGCCCCGACACCCCATGACGTCATCAATCGTGACTCACACCCACCGATATAGTATTCGACCTCGCTTAGTCTGCACCAAATTTAGACTTAAATGAAATGTGAAACTCACTGAAAGGAAGTCGTCAGGTTTTATTGTAATTTCGCCCTTCTGTGGTTATTCTCGTTGAGCCATTTACTTACAATAGTGAATGAAGCGGCAACTTTATACTATATTGCCATCATCCAATTAACTATTGAAATGTTCTCCGTCTTCACATTCACCGATTATCATATAAAATTGAGATCACAGTTGTAAACTTTTCTAATATTATATTTATAGGAACTTTCTAAAAGTCTTCATCATTCAAATTGTTGCTTTGAATCCTTCACAAATTGATAATTTGAATTAATTAAATAATATTGATAAGCGGATATGAAGCGTGGTCTAGTCTAACAGACAACATGTGCTACATTTGTTATAGACATAGATATAATAGTCAAACATACTGGAACACTGTTAGCAGCTACACAAATTAGTTTTTAAAGAACACATGCGATAAAATAACAATCAGCAAAATGGGTTGTCGTTCAAACATTAATGTGTTTAGGTCTGAGGTTTATGAACTCTTATTAGATGCAAACAGCTTAGTGAATGTTGCCAGCAAACCGTGAAGATAAATTGCCAGAACGTATTAAAATATTTTACATATACCACCGAAATTAATGTTACAACATATGACGTATTTGTTTACGTTTTCAATCTTGATTAATTATACTACACTACAACCAAACTCGGAACTGGTATTGGAAAGTGTAAGTAAGGAGGGTCGGTTGGCATTTGTCGTATTATGGATATAAATTATGTCACTTGAAGTGGTCTAGTGGGTTGTTATGCAAGCCTGCTTCAATTACATAAAGCGGGAGCAGTGCTTTAGTAACACGTGCACTAAATAACCAACTGTTAATGTTTCGAAATGGGATATTACTTATTAATTCTTTATTTATTTCTCATTTGATTACTACCTAAAAGTTGATGCTAGGATTCATTAGGTGTAATTATGAACTACGCAACTCGTTTACTGCAGTTATATCAAAGAGCCTTGCCCACTTACTCGTGTAACCGGGAGGGTCGATTTCTAGTGCAGCAGTTAATTTTTTTTTAATTTGACACGTGCCTAAGGCTGTCTTAATGGGTATCGTAACATGCGACCTCGATGTTAATGATTATTTTTATTACTTGTTAGTTGAATCCATTTTGAGAATGCAAACCGACCAGCCAGATTCAAATGTAGGTATTTGAGTAATTTCCGCCTGTGGCCGGCAAGATATGAGTTATCAGGTGGCGAAAAAACGTATTTTTCGAGCTAACAATATAACCTCATGCAAACAATAGGTACTTAAATACTTAGATGGACCATATATAATAGTGTTTAGCCTACGGTATTAACAGTGTGTTATAGGAATTAGACTATAATTATCATCGATGTTGACTCGTATCACGTCATATGTTATTAAACCATTCGCACTTGCACTATTGTTCTGATTATCTGTAAACGTTCAATAACAACAACTTTGGAATTATCGAAATTATGCACGCAGTTATAACACTTTAGTAATCAGTTACAGTTGAGTCTGACACTGCCTCTCGCCTCACTCAGGCGGGAGGAGACATTCGATGATTTCCCCCCTAAAAAAATTCTGATCCATAATGATATATCGTTTTTTAAGTTTTCTATTGCAACTTCTATCAGTTCTGACAACTAACCCCGATCTCCCCTAATCCTAGTTATTTATTTTAATTCAGTTGCAAACCAATCAAACAACTTGATAGAAATTACGTTGCATTGCAAGACTAGACACTAATATTATTACCTAAGAGTATAATATGCATTGCATTTTATATATGTAAATCTAAATAAATAAAATTGATACTTTTGTGGGGAAAACATTTATAAAGAAACGAGTTATAGTCTCTTACAGAATAGACAGAAAGACGGAACAAAATATGCACACGAAACCCTCATTCTTTGTTTCCAATAGTAATTAAAGCGAAATATTTATGCGATTGATATAATTAATATCCACGCGATTTTTTCCGCTCACCTAAGTGTGGATTCTTGAGGTTGTGATTATTTCAGGAGTCATTTAAGACCTGGGGTCTTACTCTTGAATCCAATTCCGATCAATAGACATTGGTATTGTGAAATTTCGTACTCTTGAGTTGCAAAATTAGCTCCCATTGCATACGTATTACGTGAATATTTAATGAACTAAATGGTATTAAGTTTGGCTTTATATCCCGTACTCTGAATGCTATTTTAACAGCTACGATGGGTGTTGTATAGTTTTGACAATGAATAATTATTAAGATTTTATTGGATTAAACTTGCATTGATATTGAGATTGGTTTCGAGAGTAACCACCACTAAAAGAAATTTTTTAAGCTAATTTTTTAGCTCTACGTATCTTTTTCATTTGCAGTGAAAAAATAATAAATGTGATGGTCCAATTTAAAGAAAATATTTCAGAAACAAATTACAGATAAGTAGTTATTTTGTATAGCCCATATATGTACCTAGGTATCCGCTACTCGGTCACTTTGGAAAGAGCAGCATGTTTCTTCATCTCGCTGTGTCGAGTCGACACTGTCGACACTAATCTCTTACAGAAAACTAGGTTTTTATTTATGTACACTAGATTTACAAATGTCTAGATAACATTTAGACGTTTCTTCTAATTCATGTGCATCTTAATTTAGTGTAACCTACTTTTTAAATGAAAAAGGCCCGCATTATGTTGGCTGGTTTAAATTTTCTTAAAAACTAGTATTTTTAGTACATACGCATTTATGACTTGTTTTGTTGCTGCTCTAAAAACCCAACTAATTTGAATTTTGTCTAGCTTATGCAGCCAAATGAGAAAATAATTCTTACTTTTTTTTTGGAGCGATACCTGTTTCAACCATCCTTTGAATTTGTTGTTGTTTTTAATTGAATGCCAGCTGAGGCGATTACTTAACATTTAAAGTTCTCCAAATAGGTTCAGTGTGGTTCAGTGTTAGTCATGGTGAATGCAAAAAACAATATTCGATTGGGAATAACCGCCGTTATACAAAATTTGGTTTCAAGAGAGAATGGGTTTCCGAACAATTGCTTTTGAACGTTTTTAAAGAATTACGTACTATTAAGTATTGTTGATTCCATAATCGTCACGTAATCTTATCTAGACTTACACAGGTATTGTTGTCTGATTAACAAACGATGAGTAATGAGTGCTAATCAGCAAAGGACAGGGACAGGGCGTTCCTCCACTGTGAGTACTGTGACTCATCGCATCGCCGGACGAGCATTCGATCAAACAAATCTGTTCGCCGACCCAGACTGTTCCGGCATGAGTCCGCCGTCCATACTTCCAATAAATGTTGATGACTTCGAATACCGGAAGTGAACTCTGCGCAAAATGCATGAGAAAAGTTACGACCGACGACTCCCTGCATCAATAACATACGTGCGGCTATACATACAGTCTTTAACTCTTCACACGTCCGTCTATAAGATATACGAGATACAATCTCGCAAACCATTCGTGTTATACGATACACTTGTCGTGGTGTGCGTGACATTGGCATTCAGGTGAGACGTTCTGATACCTAGAACGCAAGGTCATTTATCATACCCGTTAACACTTTAATTATATTGTTTGCAATTCAACAATATAGCTAATTTGACCCCTCGATGGCTTGATTATGAAAATTATTAAATTCACTCCGAGAAATGGTTACAGCCGGTTTGCAAAATCTACATCGGCAATCAGACCGACTAGGCATCAGCTCTCTCAAATTCTTTACGGCAAAAATCATGTTAGGCCAGTTTAATTAATGGGTATGCTATCTCGAGATCAGAAAATTATACATGAGAGAGTTAGATGTAATGATTAGGAATCCGATTAGTTCGTTAGACAGTGTTGATATTGCGTAGCTATGACAATATTTGGTTATCGCGTGAAGAGACGTGCCAATTACCGAGTATTGATGCCGTCGACCCGGTATGCCGATGTTATGCACGAACACCGTGACAGGTTCACTGACACACCTGTCTCGACTGCCAAATATGACATAGTTACATTTCACACATCAATTACAAACGATTTACTCAACATTAAATTTTAAACCTCTGCGTCCGTTTGTTAGGCGCTTCGAGTTAGTGATACGAAAAAGAAAATGTCGATGTGACTATATTAATACAGCAGAAACATGTTAAAAATAGAATACCCGTTTCAGATCTCGTATAAAATCTATCTATAAAATTGTTCTTTTATGTTTAACAGACACTGTATAATCATTGCCCAGTGCCCTTTAGATTCTTTGTCCTCTAATTCGTTATTAGGCATTTTGTTTGCGCGATTTTTAAGAACATATTTATAAACATTACACAATACGCTGTGTGTCGTTATATGGCAAATTATCACGTATTGACTGTCAAATATGAATTTGAAACGTTGTAATTAGCCAAGGTAGCTTGGAGAACACGTGTCGGTAACCGCATTGAATGTGCTTCGCATACTGATGACGGCGATCATGGTCTGAACATTGCGTGTGCGCATTCCTTTGCTTCGGCGCCGCCCACCAACCGCCTTTTTAAATCATTGTCATGTCGCAGACCACGCGACCATCCAACGATTCTTAATAATTTGCCATTTCCTAACTGGACCACTTATCATGAATAGTACATTTGACCTTTGGAGTGTATGAATGAACTGCTTTTAGGCTAAATTCATTGAGATAGCAAATACGAGCCTTGTTTTCACTTAACATTATTTATTTAATGTTTGAAAAACACGATGTTGACAAGCATGAATTTTATTTCTGAAATACGAGCATCCACGCTTGACTGCTAATTAAATAAGTGACTTTAGTGTTTAGTTACATACCTTAAAATAATTGTACAAGATGCGGAGTTATGTTTCGCACTTAGAAGTAGGTACCTACGTCAAACGTATCTCAGTTGTCACGAAGCAGGTTCTCCCACGTTCGGTTCAGTCGAGTTACTCTCGCACTGGCGCACGGACTTGCGTATTGTCGCTCCAGCATCAGGGTTAACGAACCGATCGACAAGCGACCACCACATCACACTCTAAGCCACCCATTGTCATTTTTTTGCGTGACCCTATTATGTACGACACACATTCATTTCTTAACTGTACAGTGACATTAGTAATTTATTATTGATAATAAGAAAATACACAATCGTTTCACTTAATACCAGTCAAGTACCATTTTCTGCAAGTCAAGTTTATGAGTACAAGATAAGTTATAGCTCTTTAATTTACTACTCATGTAGTGATACGTAATTTGTGGCCATCGATACTCTATTCATACTTCATAGATGACGTTTAATTTAATATCTCGGAGGTAGAACGCCAATGATAGGCTTCTCAACACAACGGTACATTCGTATCTCTGTAGACCACTATATTATCATAAGAAACACCTTTGTCTGTGATCTCCGTCGTGTGTATATTATAACAGACTGTACATTTCTAAAATGATACTCGTGACTCGATTTGAAACTAGGTCCGAGGCTAGATTTCCATGGAAATGTTAATTTTGTCAAATTCGTGCTCTAGAATTGGTCTAGAAAACGGGCATTAGAGTTAGTAGAAATTTGAGATTCCGTTAAGTTAAAAATATGCTAAGTTTCTCTTGGAATATAAATGTAATAATTTCTGACGTTGTAGACGTAGTTATGTGACATATTTCAAAAGTAACCTAATCATCTACATAGTTGATATTGTTAACCTTCTGTAATAGTTAATAGAATACTATTGTATTATACTACTCTGTTATAAAATTAATATTTCGCAGTTGTATAAAGTACTCTAATAAACAACTTAAATGTAAAAAGGGGCCATATTAATGTTCATATCATTTGTACCCATGTAGTAGACCATTCCTAAGCAACGTACAATAGATTCTTCCTCGGTTAAATTATTTCTTTAGTGTCCCACTTCGCTTTTATTAATCCATCAACTATTCAAACTGTTTGCTCTCTCCATCCTGGATAAGCTACTTAACTGTCTCCACGCCAGTGTTTTAGAACTTTTTTTATATAAACGTTTGCGAGACAGTGTCATGGCTAAAAATATTCTATTCGCATTTCATATTATGCGTGCCTACAAAACGCTCATTGCAGTTAGTAGTGTCGCTACGCATTCAATTAATGCTATTAGACACCAAATATTATCACGTCCGTTATTTGTTTGAGTGTACGTATACCAGTGTACAATGTAATAATAATGTTATGTTGTTCTCAAGTCATAATGTAATATTAATGAGCAGTGCAGGAATGAGGTTTTAAATTGGAGGTGTTTAAGTGAGAGCAGTGTCGTTGCACTCGGTACACGGAGCTGGAGTCAAGGGCGGCTGCCAAGTACAGTCGCGTGCGCATCACAGCACGCAATCACTATATTCCCGTCCGCCTCATCACCCTCGGTGGGAACGGGAAGGCCTTTCGCAGAAAAGCTTGCAGTTTTTATGTCTTTTTGTTAAACTGGAATCGTCTAAATCGTGCTCCCACGACCTTAAATTGTTTCATTAGTGTTCACGTTAAATATATTCCTAACAGAATGAATAACCTCAGTTAAAACAACAGCAGTTATCGGTATTACTGGCCAGTTTCCCGCTGGGATGGCCGACTATCGCTACCCGTTTCCTCTGTTTTTTTTTATAATCGTTATGTCTCCATTGTTTTGCAGTTCATTCCTTTTATAATTAAACATTATTAGTGAAACTATAAACTTATAATACGGGTTTTTATAAAATATTGTTTTCTTTGTTCACAGGATCAGTATGATAACTTAGCCGCCCACACACATAAAGGAATTGATTTTTTAGACAAATACGGAAACTTTGTAAAGGAACGATGTGCAATCGAACTAGAATATGCAGGAAAACTCAGGTAAATGAACTAACTACCTATTCATTTCTTAACTATACAATGCGGAAAAAGTTCGTTTGATTTTGAACAGACAATCCATTTTGTTTTGTTTTTGAATTAGATAAAAAACGGTTTTATCCACGATTTAGATATGTTATAAAACGATAAGCGTTGAATCTTGTTGTTATTATCATAAATACAATGATAACTGTTGCTATTGCGATTATTACGATAATATATTAGCATTTCTTTTGCATAATATTTGTTTTTTTTTTGCAATTCAATAAGTAAGAGTGCATTACGTAATGACGTAACAAAATGCAATAACTACTTTTCAAAATGTCACTATGTCGACAAACAATTTTGTCATCGCTTAAGATTAGATAAAGTTTATCCATATTATTCGTAAACAATTAACAAATCGATTACATTATTAATTAAATTATGTAGATGCGGCATTTATTTTGGTAAAAGGTGGTCCATTTTTGATCCACCAGTGTTGGTGCTTATTACTAACTACCGACTTTTCTTTGATATACCCAAATAATCGTCAATCTTAACAATATTATTTTCGTTTTTGTCCCCTAAAATATTATAGTACGATATTTGATCTAAAATGTATGGTTTTTTTACAGGAGGCTTGTAAAAAACTATCAACCAAAAAGAAAAGAAGAAGATGAATACCAGTAAGTATTTTTATTGACTTGCGCTACGTACCGGATAGGAAATGAATCATAGACTTCTTTCCACGAATATATAAATTATCTATACGTCACTAAATACCTCTACTTTTACTTCGCAAGGACGTTGATTCATCGTCATTCTTAACTTTTGTTAATGCTTCTGATAAAATTGTATCTAATATTAGTAATAACATAACATCACGCCTTTTATCCCCGAAGGGGTAGGCAGAGGTGCACATTACGGCACTTAATGCCATTGTACAACGTAACACCCACTTTTCACTATTTTTGTTATGAGTCTCATGTAATAGGGGGTGAGCCAATTGCCATATACCGGACACAATTCCAGACTCCGTGCTACCACTGAGATTTTTTTAAAAACCCAGTAGTACTTTGCTCGACCCGGGAATCGAACCCGAGACCCCTTGCCCGGCAGTCGCATTTGCGACTACTCGGCCAACGAGGCAGTGGTTATATAGGCGTTAGTAATAATATCACATAAATACACGGGTTTTACATTGAAACAGTGGATAATTATAAGCACGATCAGTTTTCCTTCAGTTATAAATACAGGATTGATTGAGGACAGGATAATAATATACAAAAACTAATATACTAAAATATACTCCAAAAGAGAGCGTCCAGAGTTTCGAAATTGAAAAACTCAATACTGCGTTTTACGAAGTTATCACGTTCTGGGCCCAGTGCCTGACGTTCAGACATAAACACATGTTACATTGAAGCTAGAGGTAAACTGTAGTAACTATTGTCTTGTTTACTAAATTCGATTTATCGGTAAACTGAATTTGGCACGCCAGTGCACAACCAAGAATTTTTATGCTTGTGTAATGTATGTCTGATCGGTTATTTAGAATTGATGTGGCTATAATAGCATTGCATAGCTCTCGTATTTTACGCGTTATAAATTCAAGTTGATAAGTCGCATCAATTGTCTGAATATAATGCATTGATGCCAGATTCTTTAAACATTCAACAAATATTTCTTTTCTATTGTTACATACTTCATTTTTACGCAAGTGCTCCTTTCGGAGAAGTTCGATCAATTACAGTCTCGAACGGAGCTCTCATTGATATTCTCAACATGTTCAAATTCTTACAACGCTCGTAAAATGTCAAGGTTGCCGGGGCACCTATAATTTTGGTTCTATTAAGTGTCTGGACATTGAACCACAAGTCGTTCATTGTATCGTTAAACTAACTGCATGTTTACTACTTGTGCAACGACTAACAATCGTTAAAATTTTAGGTATACGGCGTGTAAAGCATTTAAACAATTACTTCAAGAACTAAACGATTTCGCGGGACAAAGGGAAGTGGTCGCAGAAAATCTACAGTCAAATGTAGTTCGAGAGTTGCATCTACTCGCCAAAGAATTGCGAGAAGAGAGGAAGGTGAGAATAATCCTGATTACCCCCAGTAAAGTGTAAATAATTCAGTAGGCGACTAATCTATTTCGTGGACTGATAGGTGATACTGTACTTCTGTGTGTGTTTGACTGTGTACTCATATTTCCTTCATTCGTACATCACTTGAAACGCATTTAATTCTAATGTAAAATTAATAAGAATTAACGGTATAGTAACCAGCAGATAAATGGCAGTTAATTACAAATATAGGTACCCAGTCAAGTAAATCAAACGCCTGCAGAAGTCGGGAATTTAGTTTGTACTAATGTTACCTATGTAATGTTTATAAGGAAAAATATTATTAACACGTATGACGACTGTAAGCTCGATAAAAACTGCAGCGAATAACAAAAACCATGCTGTTTGTTTTTATTCGGGATGGCTGTAGAAATTGTCACGTAGACATTTATGGCGCTGCTCTAATTACTAAGATTCTATTTGGCGAAGCGCTCTTGAGCAATTTTGTAAAGGTCAAAGTTTATATGAAGCAGTCTAAACATTATTTTTCAAGTATTCGATGCCACATATTACTGTGTATATGCGTCTCAGACATCCTACAGCTTCGGCCGGTACCTTTACGCAGGAATTCTAAAAATAAACGTGACTCCATCGACGCTTGTAATTCAAAATCGTATGGGCCCCAAACAACTGTGATCTTGATTGTCTTTGAAATTACTTTGTTGATGAATTTATTTGATCAATCAACCTCGTGTGTTTAATTACAGCAACATTTAAACGAAGGTGCGAAACAAATGGGAGTGTTGAACTCATCGATAGGTTCGTTGGAACGAGCGAGGAGATCGTACGAGCGGGCAGCCAGGGAGTCGGAGCGAGCGCTGGAGACCTTCCAAAAGGCAGACGCCGACCTTAATCTGAGGTGATTATCTAATAGACTACTTCACCGATAATACTGTCTTGACCCACAAACTGTACAGCTGATTAAACAGTGCGTAAAGTGTACAGCGAATTGTTAACGCCGTGGTAATCGAATTTTAATGCCGTGTTATTTCAATGTTGACATTGATTTTCTTGTTATCGGATTTACTTTTACGGATATTCTTTCGTAAAACATTTTGGAAATGTTACGTCGTATGATGCGTGCGTAAGTTGGCAGCAAGAAAATATTCTTGACCCCATAAACAATGCGATGGCAAGTTGGCATACATTCAATACTTAATGCGGTACAATATAAAATGTAGTAGAGTTGAAGATGTCGTTGGCTCTTAAGTGGGATTTGTGCCATTGTGACCTTTTTGTCTGTATAATAAATAATATGAAACATAAACTTGCATGCAATCAAGTTTAATAGCCGTATGTTGGCTGTTCATTTGATATACGAACCAAATAGAAAACTTCAGTTAGCAACGTTGCCGATACTGTTGCGGTCAGACCGTTGGCCTATAGAATATAATATATTTATGACTATCCACGTGCACTTTAATTAAACGCGAAATTGATTTAATGATGAAGGAAAATGCTCTGGTAAACATGGATTCCACAAGCGACCAAACGGGAATGATTTATTTTTATCGGTAAAGGATAAGTTACTAGGGATAATAAGTGTTACGTACAACTGCGCACTTTACTCATTTTATTAATTTTTAGTGAAAACCTGAGAGATTCGATTCATTCTCGTCGGTTCGACCTTCCAGTCTAGTTAAAACCAATATACTTTTACATGTCAATTAGTTTGGTTTAGCGCTATTGTAAAATATAATTGATTTACAATTAAAACTGCTAAATCAATTAAATCATACAGTAATTAACTACAGCACTTATCCACCAGGAACTCAAAACACCATGTTTTTAGTGAACATTAATTACAAATAAGACATATAACTGACTTATTTAATAGCCTTTTAGCCGTTAACAGCAAACTACAAGTACTCCCAATCCGTATGAACGGTACAGTCTCATCTAAAACGAGGTCTATAGACATATTTATTATAACTCTATGGTTCTATCTAACCGCAAACAACATTGTGTTGCAGTCGGGCAGAGGTAGAAAAACAGAAAGCAAACATGAAACTCCGGAGTCAAGCGTGTGAAGACGCTAAACAGGAGTACATGGATCAGCTACGCAAGACAAATGATGCGCAAAGGCAACATTATGAACAGCGGCTGCCACATGTATTTAAACAGTTACAGGTTAGTTACCATTTTCAGATTTTTTTTATAAAAACGTTGGCCCATTCTAATACTATCTCCTGTGTTGTGGGTGCGTTTACAAACATACAAGTTCACATACACATGCCACCCAGACCCGAAACAACAATTTGTGGATCACATAAAGTATTGTTCCGTTCGGGAATCGAACCCGCGACACGTTACACGGCAGCCGGTTGCCCAGCCACCGCACCACCCGTGCAGTCTTTAGTACCACTATTTCAGACTTTTTTTTTATTCACAATTTGGTCGATATCTCGTCTGGTGGTAAGCGATGATGTGATAAGCGACCTACGATTCTACAAATTTTAACCCATAAGCAAGCTATTGACTCTGATCTCGAAGACATCCAGGAAACACAGACTCTTAGTTACTCTTAGTAACATTAGTAGTAGTAGTAGTAGTTCCACTAAAGAGTGGAATCAATATTAACTATAGGTCTTCTAGAAGAATAATGTATTCATTCAACATTCTCTCTGATTTGATCAAACATCTTAATTGTTTTTGCCGATAGGGTTCTTTAATGAGCCTCCATGATATTTGTTTACGATATAGTTAAAAGTGTCAATAAAAATACACTTCAGAATAATTCTGGTTATCAAGTTTTTACGTTTCCAATCATTTGAATAATTATGACTTATGTTATTGAAAAATTATTACCCATGTTTTATAGCTAATTGACACGATACACAGTTTTTTCACATTAGAGATAAGGTTGTAAAATATTAATATCTTATTAGATACGCCTCGTACGACAGTGATTTTAGTTCGTTTAATGACCATCAATAATTCACATATAAAAGCGCTTTTTAATTTACTATATCTGTGCTTTGGTTTCGAGTGACAAATACCGTTGGGACGCAATCTGCATCCAAAAATAATCTCCTACTTAGTTTACCAAAGACCGATGGTAATTTTAATGATAAATTGCCATCTAATGATTTACTAACACGAGAAATACTGAACCATATTTTAATAAATTTAATGTCCAATATCTTTAATATTAATCACTTACCTCTGAATATTACAAGAATAATGTTGTCTCAATTTAATTGTAATTTGTCAAGAATTATAATTCATCATCCTAACACGAGGATAAATGAAGACTGTCAGTTTGATTGCGACTGGTTTTGTATCGAAATGTCCGTTTATTACGAAATGTTTTATGAATATTGAGATCGTAACTTTCTTAGGGACGTGAATCTTGAAGAAATTCAGGAAAATGTTGGGCTCCAGTGCAACCACTTTGTATAGTGCATTCTGGCGCGACGCCAACTAGGTCACATAGTACAGGCATACATAAAACAAGAACACTATTTTCGTATAATACGGAAACTTGTTTGTACTTTAACACGTAATTATTATTTTTCAGGATTTAGACGAGAAAAGGATAAAAAATATAAAGAACTTCATGTTAAGTTCTGTTGATGTCGAAAGGAAGGTGTTTCCTATAATCATGCAGTGCCTCGACGGTATGGAGACGGCTGCGAATAGTATTAATGAAAAAGAGGTAATAATGTTATTTATTATTGTTTATTTATTTCATGATTCATGCTATACATTATTGATTTTCTTAGACATTGGTACTTTAACAAATTATAATAAATGGTCGGCTTAAAATATGATAATAAAAGGCCTTTGATGGTAAATTACATACATGTACCTACTTATAGTAAATAAGTACAGTCAATAAAGATTTCTATGCTTCATACATTCATACATTTGAAAATTGTAAACGCTACTGCGTATTAATATTCAGATTGTAAAACCATATGATATTTATAGATTCACATCGATTGCACATACTTGTAAATCCTAAGTAATGATTACATAGTAATCAAACAATGAGTCATAAGTAATTTTATCTGATACTTGAGATAATTGCGTCCCTCTTCATACTACGCCTAGTTTGTATATTGATATCCTAATTGTTATTTTATCCACTTGTGTTTTACACGTGTAATGAATATCTATGTAGTCTGCTCATATCATGACCATCTTTCAAGTTTACATAACATTAGAATTTGTGTCACATGCTGTATAGCTTGTTCATCTTTACTAATAATAACTTTAACTTAAGTGTCGTGATGTTCCCATGATAGATAGCTACTTAATATCAAAGGAAATAGTTTATTAGCAGCATATTAAACATTTTATAATGATCGTTAAACTAAGAAATGGGTTAGAGTAATACCAACGGCGAATTTTATGGCCCATTGCAATCTTACGGCTTGAGCGACCTAAAAACTGACGCCATTTATATTTTGGCACCGTTTGAATATTTTTTATAAGTAACTAGCTTCTGCCCGCGACTTCGTACGCGTAATCCCGGTTTGTCCCGTTCCCGTTCGTGATTTTCGGTAAAAGTAAAAAAAGTATTGGATAAAAAGTATCCTATGTCCGTCTCCTGGTTCTAAGCTGCCTCCCCACCAATTTTCATCCAAATCGTTCTTGAGTTATAAATAGTGTAACTAACACAACTAGATAATAAAATAATGTTGTTTATGTTTTCAGGACACAAAATTAGTGATAGACAGGTATAAGTCAGGTTTCGTGCCGCCTGAAGATTTCCAATTTGAAGCCGCGTCTGGGGCAGATACAACAGACGCTGCGACCACCCACCACCATACACACAACCATCTCACCGCGGCGCGGGGCACAGTCTCCGGGAACAAAATCAAGAAGAGAGGAGGCCTCCTGTCCATATTCAGCTCCAATAAGGTGAGATGAACATATTCTACCTTCATGCATCATGAAGACGGGTGCTTTGGGTTATACATGTTTGTACTACCAGTGGATAGTTCAATGGAAGGTATCTCGTAGTCAATGGTTCCATATTATGTTATCGTTAGTCATCTATGAAGCCAGCATTGTTCCCCTCGACTATTTTTATATCAAGTTTATTCATCTGTCGTACTGTGCGTAATAATATGTGTAGCACATATGTGAGAACGTTGCTGGCTCCATTGTGTAGTAAAAGAATATTATTATTATTAATTTATGTTACATTTGCTATCTTATCGTAGTCGAACATATTGTTCGTTACATTTATTTTCAAAGCCAATTATATGGTTTTGGGGCTGTATGCTTGAAATTGTATGGGCTTCATATCAGCTTATTTTAATGTTATGAATATTTAATTATTATTACGTACTTGCATGGTGTAGTACTATTTTATTTATTTACATTTTTGTACAATAGGATTTGATGTTATATCACATTTATGTTATTACATTTGTTCTTTATTTACACAGCTGGCGTATAGTCATGAAACGTTATTATAATCGAATCACTTGTATGAGGAAAACAGAAAACACGATGACTAAACGCCAGTGGTGGAGGTTATATATTATTTTTATTATTATGTGTAAGTTGGAGGTACTAATTTATTTTTATCTTTCAATCCCTGTTCGATCCCTACCTAACATGGGTACAAATAACAACCAATTGATATTTTGGCTGTCGGCGTCGGTGCCATGTCATGTGGAAAATGTAAGTTGCCCCGCGGTGGTGGGGATGTAAGTCATGCGCATGAGTCACTGGCTTCTGTTACTGTTGGTCAAACAACAAGCTATTATGAATAACACCCTCTCATACAATGTTTACTACATACTTAAAACTCTCTTTTTGATTACCTGTGTACTTAACTTCAATGTTTATTTTTGAACGTTATTGCATGACTCAGAAAAAGGTGCGTGGGCAGTTATCGGAGCCATATCGGCGCTAGTGTTGTTTCTGTTGTAATCATTCGCGATAAAATGTACTTACTTAAAAATCGTCAATACTGTAACGCGAATTACCGTTGTAAACTGTGAAATCGCTGATAACATTATGTAATTTCTTTTTTATTTTTAATTGTTTACCTACATAAATAACATAACATAACATCACTCCTATTATCCCCGAAGGGGTAGGCAGAGGTGCACATTATGCCATTGTACAATGTAACACCCTCCATAACAGCGACTGCCCGGCCAAGGGGTCTCGGGTTCGAATCCCGGGTCGGGCAAAGTACTACTGGGTTTTTAAAAAATTCTCAGTAGTAGCACGGAGTCTGGAATTGTGCCCGGTATATGGCAATAGGCTCACCCCCTATTACATGGGACTCATAACATAAATAGTGAAAAGTGGGTGTTACATTGTACAGTGGTATACTGTGCACCTCTGCCTACCCCTTCGGAGATAAAAGGCGTGATGTTATGTTATGTTATGTCTTGAAAATTGGGATCATGTATAATGACAAAGCTTAGACATCTTCAAGAGCCATGCAATAACGTCGGATGTAATGTTGACACGTTCCACTGTGAGCACCTTTTGCGTGATGTACGCGGTCCTCGTTGGTAGGGCTTTGGTCCGGTCGGTCCGGAGGCGTGTGTTATACCCTCATGTTAATGTTGTTTGTTTGCCTCCCCCGTCCCGCGCGCGCCGTCTAACGCTTGCAACAGAAGATTGTCGAGGCCTGCAACTCGATCAAGGTCAGTCCGGTGTGACTCGTGACTTGTGCATTCGGGCGTGTGCTTGAGATTGTTTATTGGTCTGTCGACTCTGTTATTGTAACGATAGCCTCTACATTTCTATGTTTTGATTGATTGTTTGATGTTTATCTTGCGTAATTGATGTGAAGCATGATTGTTTTTGTTTATAATCGCTAAATTTCATTTACAGCGTGTTAATTGACAGAAATAACGCTGTATTACTTATATCTTGTTCTTGAATTGTTTATCTATCGAAGCACTTTGCCTTAATGGTCTGAGTAGAGATGAATAAATCATCGACAGTACAGTAAATCAATAGTAAGATCAATGTTGGCGTGTTTCTCACAAATCTCTGTGAATGGCATGATATTGATCTATTTACGATGCAGCGATGAGTAATGCGATTCTTACATGAGTAGATGTGACCAGTAAACTTTCTCCGCGACACACAGTCGGTTGGTTTGTATTGCTTGGTCTAACTTACAATGCTTGCACGGCTTTCATTGTTTTCAGCGCACATGCATTCTGTTTGTTTTGTCCATAATTCGTTGTGACTAAGTATTTGTTTAGCGTTTATATTATATTAATTGTTGTGTAATTTATATTTAGATTTACTTCAGCAAGTTGTACAAGGTCACTTATGATATTAATTGTAGTTTACCGGGAAAATCTGGCAGTTGGGTTCCGATACTACATATAAAATAGTGGTGTATTTTGACGTTGTCGCTGAGGTTTATAAGTGACAGTGTTTGTAGATATTTGCAGCATGTTTATTATGAAACATATATTTAAAGCTAAAAACAATGTAAGGATTTGTTACAGAGTTCATTTAGTTTTTTTTGAAGTTTGTTTTATAAGTACAGGGTGGTATTTTAGTGGAGTTGTCAGTTTGTGGTGAAAGGTTGCATTGCACTGTGCCAAAAAGTGAGGTATTGATATTTAAATTGTTGGTTTGTGTTCCAGAATAACATGTCTATGGATGGAAAGGAGGATTATTCAGATTTGCCACCGAACCAGAAGAAAAAGAAACTTCAAGCAAAAGTTATGGAGTTGAGTAAGCAGGTCAGTACGTTAATTACATTTTTTCCTCAATTCTAATTTTAATAAATATTTAACCATATACCTATAGCAGTTTATACCTGATAAAATATTTAGGTAATATTAAATTAACAAAGAATTTGTAGACAGTTGCAAACAAATATATTTTTGAATGAGGAAGTTTTAAAAGCGGTTTTCCCTTGGTTTAATAATTTACCTTAGGCGGTAGCGCAAATCAATAGTGTACTTATTGATAATCAAATCTAAACATCACGCTTTCTGTCCTAGAAAATGGTAGACGGAGCTGTACATTTCATGTTATAATATGTTAACCAATGATTTATTAAGTAAAATGGTGTAGATAGGTTGTAAACGCTCAGAAAGTGGTACGTTAAAACGTGCCACTACATTTTACCTCAGAATACGGTATTTGACATTTAGTCAAATCACTATTTTTTTGAACTGTCAATATAAACGACAGTTTTCTATCAATTTTGTACGAAATTGTGAGTAGTTTCTAAACACTGGAAATAAGGTCTATAATAGAATTAGTGGTCAACGGCGACTGCTTGTGGATGGATGTTAACTGTACTATCTTTACTTTTTGCTGACTTATACTACGTCTAGTTTAATAGGAATGACTCTATTGCTGTACCAGGCACAATAGGCTAGTTTCCTAAATTTTATTTTAATGTCCGTCTGGTAGATTATTTTAAAACATTAGACACGTATTTTATCTTTTCTCACAAAATTAAATGCTTTCGACGATATATTGATTTGAAATGTCGTTACGTCACAACGTGCTTCATTTTGTAGCACGCTGTGACGTAACTACCTCCCACTCCTAAACTTAACTCCGTTTTATCTAATTATTGTAACTTTATACGAGAAAAAAAATACGTGTCTAATATTTTTTCATTATCTAACTAACGGACTAATTAGATTTTTAATTTTCTTACTCTGGAAACTACCCAATTAACAGTTTCCTATCATTGTATGAACAATGCAGTCTAAAGGAAAGAAGATAATTTTATCTCTTAGCACTCGTTTATGATGACAATCAGAGTCCTACTCATCAGATGATGCGACACACACTACAAATGCAAACACGTGTTAAGCCTAGTGCATTAATATATAATTAGCTTATCATTTTAGAGTGGGTTTGTAGTGCAGATAACTTAAGATTTTTGTTTTCAAACGTTATATTTATCGCTTGAGAGCACCAATATAAGATTCAATGGAAAATACATTGTGTCTCGCTTGGATCCGCGTTTTAGAAACACGGAAGGTTAAATCTTATTGCAAGGGACTTTAAATCTGCTGGAAGGCTGGTGGGAGAAACAGACGTGTGTTTACTCTTTTGGGGATTTGATATTATAAATGTGAAAGTTGTGTTTGTGACTTTGTGTGAAAGAAAGAGGGGAAAGAAGAAGAAAAAACATTATTCAGCACCAGGCACGATGCAGCATAAATCTATATATATAAAAGAAAGTCGTGTTAGTTACACCACTTATAACTCAAGAATGGCAGAATAGATTTGGCTGAAAATTGGTAGGGAGGTAGCTCAGAGCCAGGAGACCGACATAGGATACTTTTTAACCAATTTTTTTTTTACTTTTTACCGAAACCGGAACGGGAAAAAATGGGATTATGCGTACGAAGTCGCGGGCAAAAGCTAGTAAAATATAAAAAGCCGAGTCTTTGTAACTGATTAAGTCAGTCATTGTTTGTTCTTGATCTTATTTCGTTAAGTTAATTAACACCGTTCACATGTTTACAAAATCTAGGAAATAAGGGAAACCTATTATTAGCCTTAATCTCTGTAATTCACGTAAACCGGTGTAAACTATATGTCACGCTGTTGGTATTGTAAATAAAAAGAGATAGTGTGACATTGAAAGAAAGAATGTGAAGACAGTGTGTATGTTTGTTACTCAATCACGACAATACGGTAGAAGGGATCGTAATGAAATTTGAAACAGGATAGATTATTTTCTTTCTTTCTTTCTTTTCTTTCTTTCTTTTCTTTCTTTCTTTTCTTTCTTTCTTTTCTTTCTTTCTTTTCTTACTTTCCTTTCTTTCTTTTCTTTATTTCTTTTCCTTCTTTTCTTTCTTTCTTTTCTTTCTTTCTTTCTTTTCTTTCTTTATTATGGTTTGGAATAATACATATCGTAGTCTTTATCCCACGGAAACGCGAGCAAAGCCACGGTCAGAAGCTATTGGGGAATAAAAGGCATTTTATGCACGGAATATGGTAATGCTACGTTTAACAAATTAATTGCGTTTTAAATTGTTGATAAGAAGACACTTTAGTTTGTAATTTGTGTATTTGTCAACAATATATGATATTAACTAAAATTAAATAAAGATAAAAAAATAATACTAAAAATCTCGGGTTAATCACGTGAAAGTACTGAGAAAAGCTCTACTAGTTTCGAATCACAGACGGGTTCTTCCTTGTGCGCAGCGTGCGGGGTCGCGGCGATGTCGCATAACCTACAAAGTAGTAGGTTCGAAACTAGTAGAGCTTTTCTCAGTGCTTTCACATGAGTAACCCGCGATATTAGTAAATATAGTATGTCTCACGATAGTTATGATAAAAACCAGATATGTAAGTAGTAAATATTACTACTTACATTTTGTTATTAGCGAAAACGAAGTATTATTCAGTCCTCAGCGAATCATTAAAAATATTTTTGAAGCTAACTCAGTTAACAGCATTCCTTGAGTTAAATAGAAGCTTTTCCTTAAGCAATCCGGTATGTTATGGGCCGTCGGCTATTAAAATTTTCAGACACGCCGTTTTCGACCTTATTTTCATAGTAATAAGTGTGTAAAAGAAGTAATTGTATTGTAAAAACCTCGTTTCTCTTATTATAGTCGTTTTCCTTTAACAGTACCTAATGAACGTATGCTTTGTATGGATGGATATGATGTTTATAATTTTATATAGGCATGTATATACATCATAGGCCGATTCGGAGTCGCGGAGAACCTAACGGGTAACCGAGGCTCCGGCTCGACGTGCAGGAGAAGGGAACGGGGTGGTTTTTAGTCAGTAAGAGTCTGACACTCCCTCCTGCCTCACCCAGGCGGGAGCTGTCATTCGATGATTTTTTTCCCCCCCTTAAAAAAAAGGCCTCTGTTCAGCAGTGGACGTACTATGGCTGATATGAATGATGATGATATATCCATAATGCATCTATATAAATTAATAAAAATGAATTTCCGTTCGTTAGTCTTGCTAACTGCTAAACTAACTCGAGAACGGCTGAACCGATTTGGCAAATTTTGGTCTTAGAATGTTTGTGGATGTCCAGGAAAGGTTTAAATGGAGATAAAAAAAATTTTAGGCAGTACAAAGTTTGCTGCAGCTAGTATATTATATATATATATATACTATTGTGGTTTATGCTAACTAATAACATTTACTAACATAAACATATGTTTGTCAAACATAAGTAGGTATGTTAGCAATGTTTTGTAAGTGAAATTCCATTGTTAGAGATGGTCATATAACAATTAGCTGGCTGTGGCTACTGCATAATGTCTCATAGGTACAATTCCCCTTTGCAAAAGATCATAAATTGTGTGGTTGACTAATAATTATGCTGTGTTTAAGTGTGACGTATCTTAAAGTGCGTAAAAAAGGTTAGATAGAACTTAATAGTATTAACTCGTCGAGTACCGGTTTTATAGACACAATTAAAGAACAATAGGTCGCGGTCACCGGTGACCGCTTGGTGTTTACTATAACTGCAAACACACTCGACAAATACTTTAGTAAACTAATTTTTAGTCCACCAATGAGATAATCTAAAGCAGCTATAGGTACTCAACCTGCGGTCCGCCGAGCCATTTTGATTGGCCTACGTGAAGTTCCTATCCTCCGTGCTAATTTAAATTTCGTGTCTATACAAGAACGAGTGATTTGGGGGTCGGAGCTAAAAGATAAAAAAAACTAAGCTAGTGATTACCTGTCGTCTTATATACATATACCTTTGATTTACGTTATCTTTATGACCTAATAATAATAATTTCTCACTTGCGGTCCAGAATCCCTTGACTGAAACAGTTTCTGGCCCTAGTAAAAATATGTTGAGTATTGCTGGTCTAAAGGATTTAAATTATATTGTATTATCGTATTTTCATATTTCAGGTGGCCCAAGAGCAAGCGGCAATGGAAGGCCTTATGAAAATGAAAGGAGTATACGAGACAAGCCCTGCGCTCGGAGATCCCATGACTGTAGAAGGTAAATTAGAAAATTCTTTAAATTAAAGCATAGAAAGGAAAGGAGTAGAAAATGAAGGAGGACGCTTGATTTAAATTGTAAAATCCTTCATTTAATTAGTGGTGAATTGGTGTGAATTTGAGGCTTTGAAGATCTATCTAAACCTAGGGTTGACAATCTAAATTCTAAATGGCTAGTAAATAGCACAAAGTTCAATATCAGCTATTGAATCATAGTAAATTCGCCATTATCTCTTCTAGAGATTTACAGATATTGTAAAATTATATTTATTACACATTGTACTCGTCCGCAGGTCAACTAAACGAGTGTTGCGACAAATTGAAGAAGCTTCGCGCTCAGTTGAACAAGTTCGAGGAGTTGTTAGCTGAGGCCAACAGTCAGGTGGGCGCGCCGCCCCTCCACCCCACCGCCAGGACCAATGGACAGGCGCCCACACAGGCCACTAGGTAAATTGCACGCATTTTATTGTGTTAAGATAAACAAAGAAGTAAAATAAAAATAGGTTAATAATGCTTCAGACCTGACCTTGTGGTGGTTTTAAGGAAAATCAAGTTTCATTTCGTATTATCTGTTGTAAATGACGCCAGTTGTAAAAGTCGCATTAGCTCTATTTGGAGTGTAGTGATTTGACTTTGTGGTTTGGATATTCCCAACCACGCAATTAAATATGACGAATAACAAAACAATGCCCTTAGGGAATAAACACAACAACTATGTAATTCATTTAATGAGTTTATTATGTGACTTTAATTAAGTCCCTATTCTGTTCACAATTTCATTTTATTTATTTATTTACATTATCCTTCTATTACAATCCTTCTTATTGTTCCAGCATCGGATCAAACAGTGAATCTCTGTCGCGGTCGGCGTCGGAGTCGTCGGTGAGTACGGGGACGGGCACGGGCGGACCCGGCGCGCGCGCCGCCGGCGGCTCGCCCGAGTCGGGGCTCGGCGGCGAGCTGGCCGCCGTGCATCACGACCACCACGCCAACGGAGACCACGACCACGACCCCGACAACGACCACGACAACGACCACGAGTCAGACTTTGATTACTATTACTGCGAGCCCGATTTGCAGCCTGTCGGATACTGCAAAGCTTTGTACGCTTTTGAGGGTTAGTTTTTTAATTATTTATCTGTATAAAAGTTATAATGTTGTAAAAATACCTTTGGAGGAATAATAGACGGACTGTACAGTTGTATTTTGTATTTACATGAGTATAAATGTCAATAAATTAGGTTGCTCCATTCTCCATGCTTAATTGCTCTTCTAACAAAATCTATGAACTGGGTTGACAATTTTATAAAATTTGCGTTACATTTACCCATGATATTTCGTCATACAAACGCCTTTTTTACCGTATACGCTAATATACCTTAAAATCGGTTACCAGGTATCGGCAGCGGGTCTACAATGAAGATGGAGTGCGGCGAGCGTCTGTTGGTGCTGGAGACGGACGCGGGCGACGGCTGGACGCGGGTGCGGCGCCATCACACCAGGGAGGAGGGGTTCGTGCCCACCACGTACATCGCCACCACGCTCTATGCAGACGCTAATGCGCACTAGCTGGTAAGAATACACTTGTTAATATTATTTTCAAGTTAAATAGATAGGATGCAAGGGAGGTAAAGGGATGAGACAGGGAGACGGTAAGGGTGTTAGAGGGTAAGAGTGACAGAGAGAGGGTAAGAATGAATGGAAGAGCGTAACAATGACAGGGAACAGATAAGGACGAAAGTGATGTATGGAAAGTACCTTGGAGGATGTATGGTACCTTCCATACATCACTTTCATCATTATTCGTTCCCTGTCACATTGAGATGTAAAAACTGAGAACGAGAGGGAAAAAGTGAAGTATTTCACAGTACATTAGATGTTATGTATATTTTGTTTTGACGGGCTGATGTCCAACATTGCCACGATATTGTTTGTTCCAGTGGGGCTCCCCCGGGCGCGGTCGGGCCGCGACGAGATGACGGCGGGCGCGGGAGAGCCGGGGCCGGTCCGAGCTCTGCTTCCCGCCGCACGCACGCGCTACCTTGATATGTTTTGTGGCCTATAATATAGTAACAAGTATTTTTGCTATAATTTATCGTATCGAAAACGTTCGCATTATTTTTTTATCGTGTTCTTTCTATTCCGATTGTTATCCTGGCGTAGGCCACCATTGAACAAAAACGGAAACATTCCATGATCTTATTTATTGTGTATATTGTTGGTTATATGGCATACATATTTTCATGTATGGAGTATACCGTAATAGCGTAATGTTAATTGTAATGTGGTGTAACTCATCTAGATCTTCATTGTGCCAGCTGTTTACGTAATAAGTTTATATTTCGTACTTATGATAGTTGTAATCTTGCTTTTATGTTATTTGCCATTGAGTATTTGAAATTATAGCAAAAATAGGTAAAGTGTAGGTGTTATGAAATGTGTAAAATATGTAAACTTAGACATAACTTGAAATGCTATCGACATATTATAATGATTTATGAATAACATGTAATATGGAATCCTGTGTCAACTATCACACGCGATCTATTGTATAATACTTACTTTAATTGAATTTTATATAGGATATTATCTAATAAAGCTAGCTAAAGTCACGATTAGCCGATGTTATTTTCTGAATATACGCTGTTTGCGGGAACGTATATATAGTTCATGTATTTATATTTAGGTGAGATGATGTATGAGAGTGAGGCATACGATTTTTCTACAAATATAAAATTATGCGACAATTAAACGTTGTTTGATTTATTTATCTATCTTCTAATCCCATTACTAAATCAATGAGTCAATACATTGAGTAAAATTAAACCGTTGGATTGCGCAAGAGCGGTGCGAAGCTCCTTTCAAACAGGAGCACTGACCTGGCATGACCTAGCCTTACAACATAATGACCTTAACGCTAATGGTCTCGAAAGTGATGCAACTAAAACTCTACCTAAACCACCACAAACAGGTTCAAGGTCTTATAAGTGGGCCCACTTCACCCAAGGTCATGCCAAACCCTGTCTATCAATCAGCAAATATAATATCTTTCAAAGGGGTTTTTTTTTATTAAGGGGGAAAATCATCGAATGACTACTCCCGCCTGGATGAGGCGGGAGGAAGTGTCAGACTCTTACTGACTAAAAACCACCCCGTTCCTTCTCCTGCGCTGCGAGCCGGAGTACCGGTAACCCGTTAGATTCTCCGTGACTCCGATTCAAGGGGGTGTAGGCTCTAGGGGTGTTTGGAATGCTGCTCATGACTATGAGCCTCTAGCATGGCTTGAAACTAGTCGAGTTCCTCGTCTAACAGGTATGTGGGTAAGCCGAAAACATAATTAACTAGAGGTATTTTTAGAATATTAAAAAAAAAAAAATTTGGCAAGGATTGGTTAAATCGTAATTATTATTCTAATATATACGAAACATTTATATGAATGCGATTTTTAATTACACAGTGGCTAGGCAGACCAATGTTACTACAAAAGATCTTTTAAAGCGGCTCTAGAGGTGTGAACGTTGAATATAAAATTCTGAAGTGAGCATCTGTGTGAGAAACTGAGAATGTGTTGCTCATTAGCCAAATGCTTGTAGCTCAAGAAAGGGACTCGACTGCTCGAGTGCCTGAATATCCGAGAGGTTGTATTCAACTTGGCTTTCTAGTTCTACTTCAAAGTGAATAGATGGCGCTACGTACCGAAAGGGGTCTTAGTGGCTTTGAAGTTGGGTACTTTAATTTCTCTATGAACTTTTCCATTTATAATTTAATACTGATCAGTCCGCTTACGACCTTGATCGACGGGCTATGCCTTGCAGTTATTGAATTTTTTTTAAATATGTAGGTGTCCGTATCTAGTGTCAATGAATTTACATAACTAATTATCAGGTCTCGTATTTCTACAAGATGACTGATGCGAAGCTGGATTATGAAAGAGCGATGAGTGTTCGTCCAACCGGATGTTTAAGGAAATCGTGATCAAAATTGTCACAACTCTACTAAAATATGCAGCATAATTCACATAGATAGCTTTCAGCTCTTACATCATTGCTAAAAGACATTTTATGCAATATCACATCAGTTCACATAATCCTCAAATTTTAGAGAACAGTCGGCATAACATGACAAATGGTTTATTATTTCACCCAGTCTCTGGCACTTCGTGACAAAAAACAAATGTTGTTCTTAATCTGGTTAAAAATGAGCGTTCGCAGTGAGACGACGCGACGGAGCAAAGAGCATATAAATCGATTGACGAATTGATGTAACCGTTTCACACCGAATTAATTGGCCAATTTGTATTAAAAAAATAACTTCCCTAATCGCGTGTTTTCGCATGAGACGCAAGGTGCTTACATTGCGTTCGGTGCTCCATTGGCCGAGTGCACCGCCTTCCGTGTCTCGCCACGCAATCATTGCATAATTGGATTCGCTAACCATCAGACGTTTACACGCATTATACGTTCATTGCAGACTAGTTAGCGCTTTTCTTTGGTATCTCCCATCTCCACTAGCCGATGAATAGTAGTTCCAGCGAGTTTAACTTCATAACTCGACTGCTATAAGTCCGGAGCTAAACGAGTTTTGCGGGAACTGTGGGTACACCATCCCGAGGTCGGGGATTGTGCAAATATTTAAATGGTTTTCCTGCTACGGCTGAAATTGCTGGGATATTGTATAATAGCTACCCTCCGACATAAAAATTGCAGCCATTATTGAAATGTGCAAATTAATTGAACATTATTGAGATACGTAGATCGATGAACTTTATTTATGAACCTATAAATGAATTGAGAATGTCTTGTAAGTAAGCCAAGAGAATTATATAATTTCAACAAGTTCTCATTAAACAGGGTGCTTGAGTACCTACCTAAGTACGACCTAGATAAGTAATAAGTTGTATTACTTATAGCATATTTAACACGCCTGGTAAACAGTTCGAGCGTGCCTAAGTATTTGAATCGTGAAAGAATATTAAAATTACCGACCGTGTCGTATAATGGCTCAATAAAAACTGTCTCCCAAGTTGTGATTTACTTTGGAAAATGAAAATAAAGTAGCTATTACGATGCAAAATTGCAGTTTTTGTTATAACTGTTCTCTAAAGAGCACTTTGAGAGGAGATAACATAGGTACCATAGGTCTACATGTCGTGCATTATTTACATGTGTATTTCATGAATAAAACCAAAAAGTTGTTTGACAAATTGCATTTCCATGCAAAAATCAAAAATACATCTGTAATGCCGCAGACAAGGCCACAGATAATAAATAACTTTGGGCGATATTGTCTCAGAGAGACAAATAAATGGCTCGTCTCAGAACCGTAACCGAAACAACAGACAAAATCAAGTTTCTTATAAATAAATAGCAAAGTTTAATACCTTAATGACCGATAACTGATTAGTAAAAAAAGTTAACACGGTCCGCGGGCGCGTGTTTGTTGAAGTAACGTATTATGTAACCTTTCCATCTGTTAAACCACTCCGACAGGTTTTCATTGCAGTACTATGTAGTCAAGTGAAATGTTGATCGTAAACGGCCGGCACGACATCCGTGGACTCGGAATACAACCAGCAACCGATTGTTGGGCACAATGAGCCGTTTGCTGCGGTCAGAGAACTGTTCATTGCTCTGTTACTGGGGAAGTTTGCGCCGTAGGAAACTAGGTACCTATGTACCCACATCCCACGAATAAAAGTCGAGATCACGAACAGGGTTAAGAGCTTTCGGAATAAAATTGTGCGCTGCTCAACTTTGGATTGCACGTGGGAAGTAGAAATGGGATAGTATGTTGTGTTTACTTGCGTAGTAGATGTCGGTTGGGAATTAGTTCAGAACTGGGAGATATGAAACGATACCAAGAGATTTTCTACTTTATTTTCTTGTACACACAAAATGAAAGTAGGTACCTAAGTACTTAATAAGTGGTCTTATCTTCATTCTAGAATATCAACACTATTGGGTGTTGAGTATCTTATAAACATGTGAAACTATAAACTGACCACTGTTTGAAGCAAGATTTAAGTAATTTCTTAAAGCTGATTAAGTAAATCACGTCTGTCATTTGCTCAAGTGACTATGAAATTGATAAATTAAATTAAAATCATGGTGTTAAGCGATCCGATAAAAATGGATTTTCTATCATCAAATATTAAATATAGTAGGTAGATATTGCGTGCTCCGCACAAATTCAAATTCCATGACATTATGATTTTTTTTTCGAATTCCTAATCACTATTTGGGTAGCAGGTACATTTGTAGACAGACATACATTCATAACCTGCCTCCCATGGACCCCATGGGAGGCAGAGATTATGGAACGCTAATTGCTATGATTTTTACACACATCTAGGTATACAGATAAATAAAATTGTAGTGTCTGTTTGTAATATTGAAATGACCGCTTTTATACATGCATACCTACACATATACATATCGAGGGGTAACGGGCTATTTGGTTTAAGCGACATTTTGGGCGATATTGAGTTATATATATATTCGTAATCAGCGAATTTTTCTCCGTCGAATGATGCCGGTTTCATTAAAATCGGAGCACTTTTTTGGCGTTTCAAACAATTCTATTTTCATGTTGTTTCCAAAGTGGCAGTGTATTAAACGACATGGATTTCGCATTTTTTATTAAATTATGTACTTGAACCATACCATCATATTAATAACCGAGACATAAACCAGTCACCCTATCTCTAATTATTAAGTCAACATGAGTTAAAGCGTTTTTCTTGTTTCTAATTTTTATTAACAAGTAACTTGAATCATTTTGACTTCCCACTAATCACACGGTGTGATGTCGCTTAAAACATTTGTCCGTCATCCAAATGCGTCATGGTACGTCTCTTAAACATTTCTAGCTGCCTCTATTTTCTACGCAGGGTGCTACTTAAACCAAATAGTTGTTTTCGTTTAGATATTATGTTTAGTCATAAACCATTTAACCCTCATTTTTTTTTAAATGCATGTCGTTTTATACAGACGATAACATTGATAATGAATATTGAAACATTTTTCCAGTATTCATAGAAATACGAGTCGGTCTTTCAATCACTAAGTTTTAATATGATACATTTAAATCATGTCATATGATACCATATTTATTTCATCGCCCTGGTGTTAAAAATCGTTATCATCCAACTGGACTATCGTGCGCTGGCGCTTCAGTCACTCCAGAGTGCGCCGAAGACAGACGGGACGCGCGCACACCGCCAGTGTTTACGTAAAACGCTCATCGAAATTGAATCCTAAGTACTTTAATTTCAAGATGAACCTCGCGGTCGTTCGAAGACTGGCAACAATGACAATTTAAGGGCTATTGTGGAGGTTGATGACATAAAATCTACGGCTGATTTAGCAACAGCTTTCGACGTTAGCGTCACAAAAATATTGGTACATTTGCGTCAAATTGGCAAGGTAAAAAAGCTTGATAAGTGGGTGTCCCACTAACTAAATGATCAACAGAGCTAAGTATGCATCGAGCAGTGCGAGGGGGACTGGGATGCCGTCTCCTCCTTTTGCGAAGCAGTTATGCTAGCTAAGGAGGAGGCGGGACGCGTGAGGCAGCGAAGCGCTGGCTCCTCGCAACCCAGCCATCGCGAAGGACACACCTGGCGTCGGGGATCGCGGGACGATCTCCGGCCACCGTAAGCGCGGGCCTGCGGACGGTGAGCATGGGTGGCTCCCCGTCCGACCAGAAACAGACCCGAGCGTACGGGGCGTCGCGTTCCGCGCGCGCCTCAAAGAGCCATCAGA